TGTAGCCCATTGTGCTGTGTTTGGGTTCTATCAGCAGCATTTTCCATTTTGGAGAAGAACAATACAGCCTCGTAAGAGAAACTCTGGGTGTTGCCCAGGCTTTCTTTAAGCAACAGATTCTAGATGATATATCCAGGTCTGAACTTGTGTAAAGTCTGAAAACATTTGGATCTCCAGATTTTCAGCTACTCTGTCACTGAAGACCACAGTGCTCATAGTTTCTGTCTAAATCTCTCTATATTGGAGATTCTAGATATCTGAGACATCTTTCTTACTGTAACGTCAGTGAGGATCCTGTTGGGTGGATCTGGTCTGCTGTATCAAGACACTGAGCAGTCCCTAAACAATACAATATAGTGTGTCGCTTTACAGCATAAAGGATTAATTTAAGATGCTAAACTATGATCTTTTTTTATTGCTTGAGGCAGTATCTAGAGAGATCATCATGGTTATTATGGCCAATGTTGTGGTAAAAATAGGTTTTGATGTTGAAAGCTGTACAGAAGTGATAGCTATGTGCATGATAACTGATGCCTTTGTCCTTGCAGTTGTCAGCTTACCAGTCTGATTCATCACTCTATAGAGTGCTTGGAGGTTATGCAGAGGATAACAGGAGCAATCTGTTATCTGCTGTAATTTTCTTTTGGGACTTAAGTTTCACAGAATTGCAGAATGGCTTAGGTTAGAAGGAACCTCTGAGATTGACTCGTCCAACTTTGCTGCTTGATGCAAGGTGATCTAGAGCAGGTTGCCCAGAGCCTTATCCAGACAGATTTTTAATATCTCCAAGAACGGAGCCTTCGTAAGATTTCTGGGCAACTTGTTCCAGTGTTCAATCACTCTTAGAGTAAGCAAGTTTTCTTTTATGTTTAAATGGAATTTCTTGTCTTTAAATCCAAGCAAATGTGCCTTGTGCTTGCCTGTCATCATTTTGTTGGATACCATTGTCTGATTCTGTCTTCTTTCCATCTTCCCCTAACATATAAGCACTGATAAGATTCTTCCTGAGCCTTCTCTTCTCCAGGCTAAACAATCCAGATTTTCTCAACCTCTTCTTGTATGTCGGATGCTCTAGTCCCTTAATCATCTCTGTAGCTGTTTGCTGGACTCACTTCGGCAAGTCCACATCTTTCTTGTGCTGGCGAGTCCAGTACTGGACCCAGCACTCAGTCGTGTCTCCCCAGTGCTGAATAGAGGGGAAGAATCACCCCTTCGATCTGCTGTTCCCAGTGCAACCCAGGAAGCTATTTGCCTTCCTGATCATTGAGGACACATTGCTAGCTTATGTTCAACATTTTGTCCACCAGGACCTGCAAGTTGTCTTCTGCAAAGCCACTTTCTGGGCTGTGCTGGTACATGGGGTTGTTCCTCCCCAGGAGCAGCACTTTTCATTTCCCTTTGTTGAACTCATGAGGTTCCTGTTGGTCCAAATTTCCGGCCTGTCAAGTCCCCTCTCAGTGGCAGCTCAACCATCCTGTGTATCAACCACTCCTCTCAGTTTGACTGGAAACTTGCTGATGGTGGAGCCTGTCCCATTATCCAGGTCATTCATGAAGACAGAAAACTTTGTTTGTCCCGTGTTGGTGCAGAGGTATACCACTAGTGGCTGGCTTTCAGCTGGACTTTGTACCAATGATGATAACCCTCTGAGCCTGGCAGTTCAGCCAATTTTCACTCCCCCTCACTGTCCACTGACAAAGTCTGTACTCCCATCAGTTTGTCAGTAAGGATGGGATGTGATACAGCATTGAAAACCTTACTAAAGTCAAGATAAGCAACATCCACTGCTCCCTTCATCCACCAAGCTGATCATCTCAGCATAGAAAGCTGTCAGGATGGTAAAGCATGATTTCAGTATGAAGAGGTTCCACACATGTTATTTCCCCATCTCTCTGAAAAGATGACTGAAGTAGCTTTTCTGTTAACTTACTAAAATACTTTCTAAAACTAGATTTGTAACATATAGGCTACTAAGAAATTTAATAAAGCTACTGCTAATTAACATCTAATGCATATCAGTTATGCTGAAGTAGATCTTGCTGCTGCAAGACCGCCTGTAGTACAGTTTCTGCAAATGAGTATAGGTCTGTTATATACGGGGTGCCACGGCTGTTCTGCCGTGGTATGACAGCAGAATTGCCTCCCATCCAGATTTGCCCGTGGGTCTCTCTATGGATGCAACAGCTATTTTTAGTGTCCCTGATAAATCCACAAGTTAGTGTCATCTTTATTTCATTTATTTTTGTGTCTCTGAAGAAAGAGGCTGATATTTGGCATTTCTTTTCACATGAATCTTTGAATCTCAGAAAACCTATTGTAGGAATTTGTACCACAAAACATGAATATATTTTGTAATGAATCTGGACTTGAGTGAGTCTGCCTTTTCCAGTCTTGCACAGCAGTGATATAAAATACCTGCTTGGCAACAGCTCTGGGAGTTAATAAAGTTTCTGTGGTAAACTATGAGAGGCCTGAGAATTTCAAACTAAAGTTATTGCACCAGTAACTCAGAAAAGCAATTCCTAAAACTCCTGGCACATTTATCCAGAGGGTTAGCAGTAGCACAGAAATGGAAATCATTGTTGGGAGCCACTGCATACTTGGAATTAAAATCCATCAGTCTTCTGAAGCTGAGGAGAATGATTTTCATGACATACAGATGCTTCTGTATTTCATAAACAAAATTAAATATAGGGTGGTTTTTTACTCTGTTTG